TGTGTGTGTGTGTGTGTGTGTGTGTGTGTGTGTGTGTGTGTTATATTGATATATAGGCTATATATGTATTATAAATGTTTATTATGAGCTATATTGGCTTTCGACTTTTCTTGTTGGTGGTTGGTGTCTCTGGTACGGTTTGTTCCTTCTTTCCGATCAAACATCTATCGTCCCTATCTCTCGTCCTTTTTTGGGATTGTTACTCTCTTGAGACACTTCTAATCTTCTGCACGTATATGACCTAATTGTGTTGCAAGTGCCGTGAAACGTTTACTAAACAAAAACAAGACTTTTGTTAGTAAACTGTTATCACTTGTACAAAGATTGTAAAGTTATTGACATTTTAACCCTCTCTGTACGTCGTGTTTTACTATCGTATCAAAACGACTTGTGCCACCACTTTCCAAAGAGGAAATTTACTCGTTAATTCGATCCGTACGCTTTGCATAGCAGTGTGTGAAAATGATTTTTTGAGAAATACTGAAAGTTTGAAAGAGATACGGAGAAGATTAAGTAAATTTAAATTAAAGTAATTAAAGTATATTTCTATTATACATAAAAATTAAAATCGTTTCTCCTTGTTTCTGTTCCACAGGAAATAGGAAAAGTCTGTTGGAAAAGCTCGAATCTGTTGAAGAAAGGGACAAGATGTGGTTGATGATTGCTGCTATCGTGACGGGAATTGTCGGTTATTTGTTCATAAATCGCTTCCTTCGATCGCTCGATGTCGGAGATTATGGCAACAAATATGTGTTTATCACAGGCTGCGACACAGGCTTTGGACATCGCTTATCAATGTAACATTTGTTTTTTTTAATGTTGTTGTTATTATCTGTATATTGATTGGGATTTATTTTCCTGCTTGTCTTTTCTTTAGCCCTGGTAGATCTGTGATTGGTCAAAATTCTTCGAAATGCTCTAAAGGTACCGTTACCACTGATTTTTATTTTGTTCAGAATTTTGTTGGAACATACTAATGTCTTGCTTTTTTTAAAGAAAGGATTCTGATTAGAATTAAGTTTTTTACTTGCCTGACTTTTCTTTCAGTCATTTTAATGCCATTTCTAAAATGTTTGTTTTGCTTGTTTGTTTTTTGTTGTTGTTTTTTAAAGAGAGAATTCTGAATAGAATTAAGTTTTTTACTTGCTTGACTTTTCGTTCAGGCATTTTTAATGACATTTTAAAATGTTTTGTTTATTTGTTTGTTTGTTTTAAGAGAGAATTCCGATAAGAATTAAGTTTTCTACTGGCCTGGTAAATTATAATTATAATTCCCCGGTGTCTGGTATGTGAAAGTTGAAGTGCTTTTAATTCTACCAGTAGAGGGAAATGGTTGTTTTGGTTGGGGGGGGGGGGGGGGGGGCTCTCGTGGCCTAGAGGTTAAAGTCTTCGTCTCTCATTCAATAGGTGCCGGTTTCGAATCCGGAGAGAGACAAAAATTATTCTACTCTTTTAAAAAATGTCTCCTTTCACCCCCTTTCCTGCTCTCTAGTAATGTTCTGTTGTCTGCTTTCGTCTCCACTTTCTGCCCCCACCCCATCACCTCTTTTTCCCCACCCTTTGGATTCCTGACTATTTCTGCAGACTTTCTACTGCTACTCCTTGGCTCTTTCTTACTGCTGTCTTTCAGATACACCCCTGATCTTATGGTAGGAAAGATCTACACCTATAGCCTTATCGGAGAAGGGCGAAAAATCACGGAGGTCCCGTGTGCAATTTGTGCACGTTAAAGATCCCCTGGTGTCCAAAATCGACAAGAGTAGGCTTCGGCTGCCACCCGGGCAGAATTCAAAATGTCCTACCAACTGAAAATGTTTAATGTGTCACGGTGCGCTCATATGACATTATACAGTTGCGAGCGCCGTGAAACACTTACCAAAAGAAAAGTTTTAAAAAGTAAAGAGAAGAATCTGTTTAGCTTCCTTCAGATACACTACTGGCTATTGATACAAAAATTGTTAACAGAAGTTGAGGATTATAGCTGTATATTTTAATTAGTTTTAGTTTTAGTAAGAGTTTTACGGCACCTGCAACACAATAAGATCATATTTAAGTGCTGAAATTGTATCATCTTCCAGACGGCTGAACAAGATGGGTTTTCATGTGATCTCGGGGTGCCTTACTCAGAAGGGAGCAGATACTTTGACACAGCTGTGCCCTGACAGGCTCTCAGCGCTGCTGCTTAATGTTGCTGATTCGGACAGCATTCAAAAAGCTTACAAACATGTGCAAGATTTATTGCCTGCCGGAAAAGGTGGGTACTTTTTTTTTTTTTTTTTTTTAAAGATTTCCTCTTACTTTGACTGTCATTTTCTAGATTCTTTTATTCTGTACCTTTAAAAGATATATTTTTCTATCCGCTGAAGAAACTGCATTCATCTTCCTTGGGATCTAGTAGGAATAAGATCCACTTCCCTTGCTTTTAATTCTCTTTCTTAATCATTTCCAAAGGTTGTCTCTATTTGTCTGATTGTGACTCGTCACTGCTGTGCTGGTAAAGTGGGGCTAGAAAGCAGTTGTGGCTGATAGAATTCTATGCTTCAGAGAGTTGTGAGACTAAAATAAACACCTTCTTTGATTAAATGGAATATCGGTGACAAATATGGACACAGTGTTGTACTTTACTTGAAGTTAAAACAACTATGATGTGGAACTCCGTGTACAAAATGCATATTACAATGAAAAGAGTTAAATGGATAATCGCAGAAATGACCTCTGTATCTTTTTTTGTTACATAACAGAAGCATAGGTCTTACACTTCTTGCCGATGTTCTAATTGCACGGAACAAAGGGTGTTAGTTGTCTGAAAAGATGGACTACATGACTAGATCTAGCTTATTATGCAGTAGAATGGATCATATACTTTCGACGTAAGTGTGTCAATAGTTTTCGTATTTGCTTTCACACATTTTAATTAATGCGCTTGAAACAATCCTTAGAAACATAGAAGAATGTCCAGGTCTCAAAGTAAATGGAGAAAATATTAACAACACTAGATACGTGGATGACACAGTTTTAATAACAGACTCAGAAAAGGACCTTCAATTGCTTCTAGATATGTTGTAAAAGAAAGTGAACGTAAAGGATTATTGTTGAATGTAAAGAAAACAGAATGCATGGTAATATCCAAAAAAGCAGCAAACTCTAGTTGTAATCTCATTAGCAAAGGTGAAAAGATCAAACAAGTCCAACAGTTTAAATATCTAGGATATATTATAACATCTGATGCCAAAAATGTTCCACAGAAGAAAAAAAAACCCTGAGAATTACAACGGCTAAGGCCAGTTTAAATAAAATGAGTCCAATCCTGAAAAATAGGAACATCTCAAAGACTACCAAAATGAAAGTTCTGAAATGCCTATGGTCAACCCGTCTATATGGCTGTGAATGCTGGACAATCACTAAAAACTGTGTAAATAAAATAGAAGCAACAGAAATGAGGTTTCTAAGGAGACTGCTAAGAGTATCATGGAAGGAAAAGAAATCAAAAGAGGTAGTGCTTGATGGAGCCCACGTGGGACGCTCACAGGAAGCGACAACTGCACTTTTTGGGACACCTGAATAGACATAAGGGTCGTGAACATCTAGCTCTCACTGGCAAAATTGAAGGTGAGCGAGGCAGGGGTAGGCCCAGAGCAACCTATAACTTGGGGAACCTGAACAAGTGGGATACAGGGAAAAATCAGGGAAACGTAGCTTTTTGATGAGCATCCGAGCAAAGGAATGAATGAAGAACCATGATCGCGCGATGTATGTCGCAGATCTGGCACTGGGTGATGGTAATGAAGATTTTCTTCTTCTTTTCAGGCCTATGGGCTGTCGTAAACAATGCAGGCATCAGCGGAAATACTAGCCGTATTGAAATGTGCACGAAACAAGATTTTGTGGATGCCATTGACATCAATCTGTTCGGCCCTATTGAGGTTTCGAGAACGTTCCTGCCTCTTCTCAGACAGACCAGGGGTCGAGTCGTGTGCATCACCAGCATCCTGGGAAGATATCCCAGTGGACCGGCCCCGTACTGCACCTCCAAATGTGGGCTGGAAGCTTTCTGTGACGTATTGAGGTACCCGATATTGAATTATGAGCAGGGCATTTCTGTGTGTGTTTTGACTCAGGTGGAATTCTTCTCTGTCTCTTCTTCTTCTTCTTCTTCTTCTTCTCCTTCTTCTTCTTCTTCTTCTTTTTCTTCTTCCTCCTCCTCCTTCTCCTCCTCCTCCCTCTCCCCCCTCCTCTTTCTCTTCCTCCTTCCTCTTCTCTTCTTCCTCTCCCCTTCTCCTCCTCCTCCTCCTCCCCCTCCCCCTCCTCCTCCTCCTCCTCCTCCTCCTCCTCCTCCTCCTCCCCCTCCTCCTCCTCCTCCTTCACCTTCTCTTCTTTCTCTTTCTCTTTCTCTTCTCCTTCTCTTGTCCTCCCGCTCCTCCTCCAGATTGGGAATTAGAACGGTTTATCCACGTGTACACTAAAAACTTCGACTCCTTGTCGCTGTAAAAATTTTACTTTAATTCCCACTTATTGTATTTCACTAAATGCTTAACGTCAGACCACTATGACGGACTGCCATAATGTTGAAGTGCAGGGTGATCCAAAAAAATTGTACAACTTTTTTTCTACATATCTCGCAAAAAATTTGTACCAGAATGTTGTAATTTGGAATAGATATAATTCATTCAAAAGGCATTTGTTTGACATAAAATTCACAAAGAAGAAACTCGTTTTTGAAAACGGAAATGGCTTTTATAAAAATAAAAAACCCCACCTATAAATGCAAAATGCAGCAATTTAAAATATCTTGTAAGGAAAGTCATGAAATGATTGGTTCGATTTTTACTTTCCTTTTATTTCTAATATTTAATCTTCCCATCCCTGTAACCTTTAAACAATATTTCTTATATCCTACAAAGTTTTTAAAAAAAATGTTTTTTATATTCTGGAATTCCGACAAGCATTGTGCCCTCCTTTGGACTCGACACATTTTAACGCGTCGTTCGTAATGTTCAGTGGAGGCCAATCACAAGGATCCACTCAGCCATGAGTAATCAAAGCCACATTCACTGTACGGCTTACAGTATGGGGTAAGGTTGCCCAAATAGACAGTATTTGGAGAGTTGATGTAACGTGAAAGGTGAATATGGGCTTTGTCAAGGATCAAATGTCATAGAGGAAATGTTCACGCTTTTCAAGACGATAGGGGATTCATGAACACATTGCTGTCCTCTGATAGCTTTGCGAACGGGAATATATGGTACATTCGTAGATGAAGATCTGCCTTGAGAATGCGAGCAGTTGAGACGTAGGAACGTTTTTGTTGCAGACATCGTCTACGGACAGACGTCTCGTGGGGCTCATCTACTGAATTTTGCACCCTGGTGACGTTTACATTTAAAGGGGTGCGAACGGTGTGTGTTTGACCTGAAATGGTCGTTTTGTGAGGGAATTTTTAGTTCTGATTCTCTACAGGCACTAACTGGTGGACCATTCCCACCCTTGACATCAAAGAAGGCCTTAAGGGCACTTTAACATTATTTCCGTACCTTGTGCAAAACTTAAGAAATGAGTTGGTGGTGAGGAAATGATTAATACAACAAACTCTCTGCTCTTTACTTATCTTAACCATTATCTCAGCAGGCAAAGGAAACTGGAGAAAAACTATCTGCAAACTTCTGTTGGCCTGTTAGACTCTGTAGCTTGCAATATGGCCCAATTGTTGGGACTTTTAGTGATAGGCCTAATGCGAACAAGTGCGTCATGCTACAAAAATGGGGACATAGCTGAAAATGGCTTGGGGGGGGGGGGGGGGGGGGGGTCGCGCTATGTGGAGCAAAATTAATCTGTGGAATTATCTCATATGAATATCATACAATTTCCTTTTGACTTCCTAATGTTTTGTACAAATTCGAAACGAAAAACTGCAATGTGGGAGAAAATATCTATTTTAAAAAGTTGTATACATGTAGATTCTTGTTTATTTGTTTTTTGATCAACCTGTATTTATTGCTTTCTGGGTTCTGTACATTAGAACAGGTTACCGATATTATGTTATCTGGTTGTGACATTTTTATATGTTTCGCACCATGTATTTTCTCTTTTCTTTGCTATTTCCAGACGTGAGGTCTATCTTCAAGGAATTAAAGTGTCCATTCTGGAGCCAGGGGTCTTCAGAACAAATATCATGGACTTTGAATCCCTCAAGAGCAAATGTGAATCTTCCTTTGACCAGGCTAGTGATGAAGTGAAGACAGCTTATGGTCCAGATTATGTGAAAAATTGTGAGTAACATTGAACTTTCAATCGCTGCAATTGTGCCTTCTCTTACCCCTACTCATTTGGTCCCTTTTAAGCACAAGGGGGCTATCCCGAAAAATGCTGTTTCGAGAAAATCGAAGGTAAACTTTTTGAACTCTTACTCAGTTTCTTTAAAAGACAAGACAAGTTTTCTCTATAACAAAACAAATACATAAGTATACACATCAATAAAACCAACCGTCTCCTATAGGTAAGGAAATGCCCACTTTTGGTGTTAGTCAAGATTTCTGGACACCCCCGAAATCTGGGTTAGCCCGCTTGTCCTTAAAAGCGACCATTTGCACCCCACCCCCCTTCTTTTTGTAGACCTTACTTTGCAGGACATAGGGCATGGCCATTAGTAAACACAGTCGAAATTGTCCAAGATGGCCACCCACTGTCAAGGAGGAAAGTGTTTGTCTTAGACAGGTGGATGTTTGGGACAGTGTCATTATTATATTCTTTTTAATGCAAAGGGGGTGGGGGTGGGGGGGTGGGGGCAGAAAGTGGTTGTTTGTTCAGGTGATTGTCTTAGACAGCTGGTTGTGAGAGCAGGTAGGACTGTAATTCTTCGCTATCTAGAGCAGTTTTCTTTTACATTATAATAAATAAGTTAGTCTTTGCATCTGTTCTTTGTGTGCTAATCTTTTCCCCTCCTTTTTCTGTTCTCAGACGTGACTTTGGTAAGCGAGACGATGAAAGGGGCGTCCACAGACATAGATCAAGTTGTCGATGCCTATGTCCACGCAATAACTTCCAAATTTCCGCGCACTCGATATGTTGTAGGAAACGACGCCAAATTTATTTATATCCCTCTGTCACTTGTCCCGGATTGGTGTGGAGACTGGATTGTTCGCTCCTTGATAAATTATACGATATCGAAGAAACGTTGAGAATTAATTTTTACGTAATTTCCAATAATTATAGTGCATTACCAAAGACATGGATTCCGAAATTGAAAGGTATAATATCCTGTCCAACAGGCCTAGCTACTACTATGATCCAAACTCAGTTCTAATATTTTTTTACAAATGTATAGAACTGTAAGACATATATTGAGTGAGTCAATTCATTTACATTTAAAAACTGTGACTTCTTTCTTTTCTCAGATAGCAGTATGCATTAAAAAAATATCATGTTTAAAATTACTGTAAGTCAGATTTTGTGATCTTCATATTTATAACGAGTTCACACGAAAAACAGACATTTTCAAACGCA